AAGTTTCTGAAGTTTGTAACCAGATTGATGAAAAAAATTAATTCAAGATGAATGTAGAGGAAGGTGAGCGGTTATCGTTCCTGGAAGTTGAAGTGATTCGCCCTGATGGGGCGCTCAACAGGAAATTGTTCGGAAAGAAGTCCTATGCTGGGATAATACTCAATTTCCGGCTAAAGGTAGGAATAATGAGGAGCATGATCACCCGAAGCCTACGCCTAACGGATGTAGAATTCTGGGACGAGGAGCTGGACAAATTGACTGGCATATGGCTCGGCAATAGCTATCCGATAAGAGTGATACCAAGAATCATACAGCCCGCGAAAAGCCGATGGCATAACAGGGACTATCAAAGAACGATAAGGAGGATGAAGGATTCACAAAAGTGGATATGTCTAGCTTCCTGCAAACTAACTCAAAAACTACGGCCAATATTGAGTAAATGGAATATTTAGGTGGCCATGAAAGAGAAATCATTACTTTTCACAAGTTTATCGACGCAACGTAAAAGGGTAGATAAATTATATTGTTAAGTAGTTTACTGTATATCATGCAGTGCTTGCGATCAGAAATATATTGGCCAAACAGGTAGAAAGAATAGCACACGAATCAAGGAACATCATAGGCTCTGCAGGCAAATGGATACCGAAAGATCAGAACTAGCGGAACACATCGCACAGATCAATTGGAAGGCAACTGAAAGGAAAGCTCCATACGATGACAACACAAGGAAGCGGAAGATAAGGAAGGCTATTGACATCGTTAGGGAGAAAAATCCAATGAACACGAGATTGGAGGAAGGTAAAGTTAGCGATAACTTTGCCTACTGCCTAAACAAACTCGGGGAAAGCATGAATGGAGTAAGACCAGCAAACGGAGATGCCTGAATCAAGGATCTACCGCTAACCGAAGGAAAAGGGATCGCGATGAGGAAATTGGGGGCGGGGAGTTTCGGCATTCAATCGAAGAGGTTGTCACTGCGTGATGTCCGTTTCGAATAAACCAGTACAACTTTGGGGGCCTGGCAGTCATGGAGCTGGGCAGACGGATAAGCAGTGACAGAAATTCAGAGGCAGTGTACGTGGTTCTAGCTCCTTGAGAAATAGAGCCTGTAGTGAAATGCACACTGGGACTGGAACCGAATGAAATCGGTCAACTAGAAAGAGAAGGAACTGATCTACGGGACCATGAAGGGGATCCGGATTGGAGGCTCGAGTCGGATTAACTGATCGAAATAGGCGAGGTCGAGGTGAATAGCAGGTGTGATGAGGCCACACTAGATGTGCCGCACTAGGGCCCACATTTTGATGAGTGGAATGTAAACAAGTGAGAAGTTGTGATTGGGCGGCAGTGGGATAAGAGGGTAAAGAGTAGATAGATAGATCAGGACAGAAAAAGGAGTGATAGTGTAACCGTTTTCGGCAGAACGGTTGTCGAAAGATTGACTTCACTTGTATCTTTGACGATTTCGTAGCATGGTGCGAAGAATGGCAAAACTCACTGATGATGCCGACTACGATTCCGGCGAAATGTTTGAGAATGTACCAAGTCCACTGTCTGATGCTGGGGATCATGACAACTATTATGTCAGACTAATTCGGACTAGATGCGTTCTACATAGTCGCCGTGTCAACAAGACCAAGTTGCGACAACGAGGTCAAACTACTAACCATAGTATTATCTATCTCTCGATATTTATTATTAATTAATTAATTTATATTTCGTATTTAAGTAGAGTTTCGAGACTACCAGTAAATCAGTAATGTGAGATGTATTCACCCTATTTCGTTAAGGTGATGAAGGACTGGTAATAGAATTTTCCCACAATGATATGATTAGAGCTGACGTCTCCATTGAATTTCACACAGCCTGGCTTTCCCAGAAGTTCGACTCCCGCTGGGGATGTTGATAAGATTGATGCGAGGTGAAAACTGCAGTCCACACCTGCCTGAATGTAAACAACTTTTTGGAAAGCAAGGCAATGTGATAGTAAATAGAAACTTCAGCTCTACTCATATCATTGTGGGCAAATTCTATTACCAGTCCTTCATCACCTTAAACGAAATAGGGTGAATACATCTCATATTATTTATTTATATACATACAGTTGCCGTCATTTTGTCAAGAATATTTATGACATTCAAGTTACAGCCGGTCAGTCTAGTTAGCTTGATGTTAGATTGAAGTATTTATAGGAACGAGATCCATCAATGTGGATATCATTCAAGTTACGTTGCAAACGAGAGCTCATCCTCCTTTTACGCGATCCGAGGAAGGAGGCTTTGCAACCCGAGCTAACCGGAATTTCATGTTAGCATCAAACAATGGCAGAGCAACGCCAGACATCCGTGTTCTTCTGGAGAGTTTGACCTACGAATTTTTGTGACTCCTCATTTCAATTCGAAGGAAAAGTTGGTTGGAAGGAATTCGTGACCTGGTCTCACCAGAAACCGAAGGAGGACAGCATTTGAGTAAAGACCATCCGGATTTGCGAAGAAGTCATCAGCTCAACGCTCTGCAACTTCAATGTGAAAGACATCGTCCGAACCAGAATTCCTAGATTACACAAAAGCTTAGCGACGCCGGTAAACCTACTCACTTTTTTCCCTAATCGTGTATTGTATGTATGTAATATCCTGCTCACAGTCTCACTCTTCCTCTACCTAAGCCACTCAACCAGCCATAAATAGCTCGTCCACAATTGCCTACATTCGTTTCTCATATTCAGGCTGTTGGCCGTTTTGTCTATTCCTACAGACTCTCAAATATTGTGTTTGGATGCAAAGTCCTTATAATCTGGCAAAAGTTGTGCTTCATATCAATCTATTACGTCTCCTGTATACGTCATTTGTTCTGCTTCTTCAGGTTTTGGAACCAGATTTCTTTACAGGCGGTTTTGTATTCTCATAGTCCTCTCCGAATGGGTCCACATAAGCATTGCCAATTTGGCGCAAAGGAGTCTTAGAAGCCCAGATTTTCGTCATGTCATCAGGTCCTTTTCATACTTTTCTTGTCAATTTGTCTCATTGAACAGGACGTAAGTCAGCGCTGCGACGTTAAATACATCCCAGTGTAGATCTGGGAGGATGCTGACAAGTTGCCAGGGCGACAGGGAGGTGACACAGCCTCTGGGTTCTTTCGCGCAGTCTCGTTGTAATCTAGAGGTTTTCGAGCTTTCGTGGCAGTAAACAGAAAAAGCGTTTTACATTCGGTACTGTGATTTGAACAGGAATTAGCCAGGTCAGGCATCGAGACGAGCTGTCGGCCCAATCTTTCCTCTCATTCTCGGTCAAACTGTCACTTCAGCATAACACTTTAGGCCAGAACACAAGCAGAATGCAGACCGCCCGGCAAGTATTCCCGGCCTGGCTGCCTCGCCCCCATCGCACTTAAGGCTCCATGTCCTGCGTCATTTCAACCGGGTCTGTAGATCGGTCTTTCCGAGATTTGCTCGATCGCTCTGTCTCCCCCTCGGCCCGGATTAGGCCGACATGATATGGTCCTCGCCAGTTTGGGCTCGAGCCGTCTGTCCCTCCAGCCTCGACTCGCTCCGCAAGCTGAGAACATATTCCGGTCTAACTAGACTGTCGGACGGCAACTCGTTTTGTCCACTTCTCCACGCTCTCGTCCATTTTGTGACTTATCTATACACTCCCATCCGTCTTCCCCTCTTCACAAGAGGATGGACGACAGGCCTCCAGCAGCAATAGATCCTTCTTGCCTATTAGACATGTTGAAACCCAACGCAAATGGAAATTGTGCGCCACAAGCACATTCCACGAAGCCTGGGGAAGGCATACAGTGGTCGGCTGACAAAGTGTTAAATCACTCTCCGCATTCTTGTTCGTCTTCCCTCACCGCCTATGGTCGGT